GCCACATTTTCAAACATCCTGCAGTAAATCCAGAGCAGATCCAGCTGGAAAGCAAGAGTGGAAATAAAACTTGGAAATTCATACCATGCTTTGAAGTCTGCTTCTTTCACAACCATAGGTCCCCCATTCACCCCAACCATTCTGAGCTGTTCTTGCTTGCTGAATTTATTTTAAAAGAGACACAAGCCACACACTTGCATATAATCTTTCAAATGGACTCCAGCTTTTTGCAGGGATGGTTTGTTAGGGAATTTGAATCCCAAAATACTTTCTCTTGCACATGAAATCAGTCCATCAACTCCTGACTCTAACCAGAATAGAAAGGCTCCCGGCACTAAAACTAGAAATCACTTTTGGTTCTAGTAAGCACTGCTTTTTTCTTGTGTTCTTTCCCTGACCCTTCCATGTACTTTTAGTTTTCATGTACTATAATCTGTCAAAAGCTATTAATGCAGATAGGAAGATACCAACGTGCCAGGTGCTGGGAATGCCAGGATGGCAGCCTTATAACGTCTTCCTTCCTATGAAGCCACCTGGAACTCCTGAAGTGGGCCATGTCACTACACTGAAGTAACTGTTACTCTGCTAAAGCATCAGAAGAAAATTAAATGTCTAGATTGAGTAGAGCTTCAATCTGTGCAAGATTGCAACTTGCTACAATCTTACTAACTGTGCCTGGTAAATGGAGACTCAGCTAGTTCTCAAATCCCAGGCAAATTCAGAATAGGCCAGCTGGACTTTTAGATCTTTTCTTTACTGACCACTATAGGGAACAGAGAGAGAGAGATTCCTTATGACTGAGATTTGACTGTCCTTAGTATTTTCTATGATCACAAGAAAGAGCTGGCAAGGGCTAAAAAACAAAACAGTTACAATCACTGAGCTCCATGATAACCCAATAACTCCATGATAACCATAATAACTCCATGCTAGAGTTTCTGCCAACAAAACCAAAACTGAAGAAGAAAATAGTTTGAATAACAGTGTCTGGTCTAGAACAATATAAAATATGAAAGCCCAAATCCTTATTTTGGCCCCATCTCGCCTGTTACATGATAAGTTGGATAAACAGAACATTCCTAGTTTTTGCTAGCTTTGACATTATAAGTTCATAAGGTAGGTTTGAAAATCAGGAGCATCCACCCATGAATGAAATTTTAACTCTGATTTATAGAGTGGGAAGAATAGCCTTGTGGCTGATATTGTCCTAGTTTAAACAAATAAAATTACCAGGATCTTCAGAAGTTCTAGCATTGATACTTTTGGCATATCTATAACTCCATGTACTACTGTCTATTTCTTACTCTATTCATTTCTGGTCTTGTCAGTCTATCTCTTGTTCTCTCTGCCTCTCTCCAACATAAACAACCAGAAGTGTATGCAAACTAGTGTGAGAAACACACTTGGGATGGGGGGACTTTGGTCAGTTTGCATTAGTCCTAGGAGTTCCATTCTTCTAAATAAATGAGAAAGTTTGTAAATAAAAGGCTACAAACTGATAAGCATACAGCATAAATGAAGAATTATTTTAACTAAATAGGGAAAATTCAATTTGCCCCTTTAATTCTTCTCAAGTCACAAGCTCTGGGGCAGGAAAAACATGGAGAAAGTCTTTTGCCTTTGAGGTCTTCTCCCTTCTGTAGCTCTCCCACCTGGGAGCTGGATAACTCAACAGTGGAATTGAACCTAAATGAAGGATATCATACCATAGACTTAAGCAGTGAATACTGGGTCTACTTAATCCAAGCAACAACTCAGTCGCAATTTTAATAAGGGTGTGGGTGTGGTGGGGGAGCAAAACAAAAACAAAGAACTTTCAACTTTACAAACACTGGGAGGGCAACAGCTGGTCAGTTGAGATTAAAGGAGCGTGAGAGAGCACCTCCCCATCTTCTGATTTCTCCTCCCCCATAGACGGCCCTGTAGCCAGCCAGGGTTCACTTTTACAGCCCTGTGCAGATGACCTTGTTCCAGCTAAGATAGGGGCTCCTTTGATCTCAGCAGGGGGATGCTCTGGTCCTGCAGCTGGCAGATATTAATAGCACAGGATCTGCTGGGGTAGAAGGATCTCTCAGTTGGACCAGGTCACTTGTATTCCCTCCTCTGTGTCAGAGCAGAAGGAACTTCATTCCCTGAATCAGCCCCTGCTGGGTACTCTCCTTAGGTCAACTCAGATCCTTTTACTGCTCTTGCCGCTTGTTCTCACCTTACAACTGTTTTCAAGGGTATACTGCTTAAGCAGATCCTCTGCTCTGCAGCTGAAATCTATTATAGTACTCTCTAAATTAGAACTAAACCCCATCCATGGGTAGATACTCTTGATCTGCAGACTCACCTCACTATCTGATAATGTTACAGGAGGAAAAGACTTGAGCAATCATTTATTCATCCAACCTGTGGCCCAAAGTAATTTAAAAACATGCCTGAGATCAGGTCACTTAACACAAATGCTAAGCGGATACAATAAATGCTTGAAAAAAACAAAGCAATTTATATTTTATATGATAGATATATGTCACATAAATACACATCTCTACATATATATTTGTACATATATATATATATATATGAACTTAACTAGTGCAATAGTTGAGTAGATATAAATGTTGTAAGAAATTTGTTCATTTTAATTCACTAGTAAGTAGTTTCATTATAGATCCTAGAAAAAATATTTCTATATCCTCTTTTCTGTTCAGCTATATAAGAACAAGAGCTAAAAACAGCAACAACAAAACCCAATTGTTTCCTTTCTCCCTTGGATTTCATAAGGGCATGTTGCCTAAGGATGTGCTGGTAATTCTCCCTCTGCTAGCAACACTTCATCATCTTCTTATAGCAGTCACACTCAAGTACAAAGCCATTTCTTTTGTCTATTTTGCTCCTCTTCTTTTCATAAGATAAACCAGGAAGCCAAGATAAAGAAAAGTGCTATAACTGATTTTCAAATGAGGAAGCCAGACACTCTATTCAGGTCTCCTCAGAGTGGAACAAGTGTGCACAAGTGTGTGTGTGTGTGTGTGTGTGTGTAATCATAATAAATTTTAATGCTATTCTCAGGTGTTTTATGTGATTCTCATGGTTCTTTCAAAGTATTTACTATGATATTCACTGAGCATCTATTTACTGCTTTCAATATGCCTAGAACTTTGCTAGGAATTGGGACATCACACGCATACAAAACGAACATGACATAGTCTTTTTCCTTAAAAATCTGCCAGTTTGGTCAGAAAAGCATGAAAAGTTAAAGTCATTTTTCTAGGCCTTATCCTTACTCAGCTGAACAAGTAGAGAGAGAAGCAGAGAAGAAGAAAGTAGTGAGACTAGCTACACAGGCAAGAAGACTCTGCAAGAGGCAGTCTTGAAGCCTTGAAGGAATGAACTTTGGAAGAGAATAAACGAGAGAAGTGAACAAGGGAAATGCTACTCTAGATAGGGAGAGTGATCTCTGCAATGGTGTGGAACCAGGAGTGGGAAGGGTCACCTAAAAATCAGCACCAGAAGCACAGGAATGCCCCATAAGGAATTGGTGGGAACTGAGGCTGAACAAGAAGGAAAGGACAGACACTAAAGGCTAAGAAGCATTAATTTCATCTAGTGGAGCTCTGGAAACTGGTCCACTCAGAAGAGAAAACATAGGAGTTTTTTGTATTTACTGACTCTTGTGATATAAATACTTCTACCCTGATGATTACAACCCCAAATCCCTGAATAATTTTAAATTGACTTACTTATTTTGTCCATTCTCAGAAAAGACAATTCCCAGCTTTCTAAGTAGGAGAAAGACATGGTAGAAAGAAATCAGATCAGGGAAGTTTAATTTGTTAGCAGCAGAATGAAAATGGTAGAGACTAGAATTGGCAAACTCTTTTGGATTAAAAACTAATCCAATCATGAGTTTAATAAGCCAGTTGTTCACAACATAAATTATTTTAAAAAGGGAGGAAAGATATATTTGGATAGAAAAGCTAAAGAGGATGATGAAAAGTATTTGAGGGAGGAAGAAATCTGGATGATTCAGATTTTCAGCCCAGATGGCAAGAGAATGATAATGTATTACTAAAAGTAGAAAGCATTTAAAGCTTTTATAAATTTATATTTTATAAATATGCTATTAGTTTTCACCATGAAAGACATCAGCAAGAAGCAGGAATGATGTTCTTGCAGTTTCTGAGATCATAAACCAAGGCCCATCCACAGAAGACCACCTGGGCAGTCAGGAACCTTGCTAGGCCTAAAAGTTACCTGTAGTCCATTATGAAAAATTCTCAGAAAGTGGAAAGGGAAGAAGGACCCATAAGAGCTCTGCATATCTACCCAGGCCTACAACATTGTACCTGAAATTCAACTTTGCCTAGAAGTCAGAAATGTCAAGTAAGAACATTCAATAAAACTAGAAACTACTGTCTGGCTTGCTGATGTAATTCCTCTAGCTAATTAAAGCTCATTCCCATCAAATATATAGCCAGCCTGACCTTTTCTAGCAGAAAATTTTTCAGGTTTACCACTGTGGAGATTTTTTCTTAAACTTCCTGTAAAGTTTATCAGGAATCCTACACCTATGGCATAAGAAACTGCTCTACACTTTTAGCCAGGCCAAAAGTACTCAAGACAAACAAAAGGCTAAATTGCTATGGGGTCGTTAGTAAAGGGGACCTTTGAGTATGGGTCTCAGAATCAAAATCATTCATCAGTTTGCCAGACCTCCTAAGGATCTGAGACAACCCACAGAAGAACCATCAGCCTCCAGATGGAGATGATGGATGCCTGTGAAGATGATTCACTCAAGTGAAAAAAGGAGCTCACTACTGAGGTGGGGGCAGAGACTCCAAATACAAACAATCAGATACCTAGAAATGTGGCTAAACCTAAATCACCAGGCTTTAGCTGGCTTCACTGGCCAGCACCCATTAGCCATGTCTCCAAACTCTCAACAGGAGGCAGGGAGGCTGTGGGATGTATGTCAGTGTCAAGTTTCAGCCTCTCCAGGACAGATACCTTACCTTCAGACAGGGACAAATCATCAGCTGGAGACACCAGGTCTGCCTGAGAAGCAAGGGCTCTGCTCAGATGGGTTGTAATTTGATTCGTCAGGATAACCTGTGAACAGACAGGGAGAAGGGAGAGGGGAAGGGAGAAGAAACAGAGAAGATCAAATTAATTATTAGAGCTATCCAAAGGCAGACTATAGTTTAGGAGAAGACTGATAAGTACCTATGTAGGAAACCCCCAGCTCTAACTTTCACCAACTTTATCTTCAGGCAGGGCCTACAGGTCATTCAAAACCCAGAAATCTGAGAAAAAGAGGGTTACTTTTTTTCAGAGCTTAAATGGCTAATTAATTATTTCTAAATGATGAGAAAATTGGGACCAAGAAGTGTTATGTTAGCTAAAAAAAAAAAAAAACAGAAGAATAACCAGAATTAAGATGTACATGCACACATTTTATCAACATTTAATTAAAAAAATTATGTCCACAACCTAATATATTGTTGGTGCCAAATAAAAATAATTAAAAATCTCGATGCCTGTGGTTTCTTCCTTGTTATCTAAAAAGTCAACGTTTTAGTTCCAAATTTGTGAAACAGGAATAAGACTCAATTCTAGAGGAATAATTGTCCTCTTTTAAATTAGTTGAATTGTAATGAAAGAAGTCCAAAGTCTCACTATGCAATTTAAAAAAAGTGAACATGATCCTACAAAATAAAGTCATAACATTTACAATTCTTAGAAAGGATTCTGAAACTACCTAACTACATGGTCCATTGCCACACAGTATTTTTATATTCAGTACAGTCAAGAAACTTTCTTTCCAAAACAAACAAACAAACAATCAAAATCCAACTTTCTTTCCTTAAAAATTCCCCCTTATAAAATCTACATCATTGTTTAGAAATTTAAAGGAAGAATAAAATGCACATTCTTTCCTAGAAAATAGTACCTGCTGAATGCCACAATCATTTGAAAAGGATTGGGGATTCCCATCATCAGTAGAACTGTGAACATCTTGGTCATTTGGAGGAAATGTCTCCCCTGACAAGGTCATTTGGCATCTAGTGCACAATTCTGGAATATGTATCCAGTCAGATTGTCTTGGTCTATCCTGGGGATCAGCTATGGTTTTGTGGCCACCCTGATGAGAACAGAAATGGAAATCATCTCCAGTCTTTATTATCCAGCTTTTCTGCCACACCTCTGTCACTGTGAGTTTACCCGTGACACATTATACATTCTATACCAATGGCAGTTTAACTGAGGGTTGAGAAAAGAGCAAGATGGCAAGGTAAGGTTAAGAAATGTCTATTAGCAGAGACAAACTCTGAGATCTTCATGTGTCAAGGAGACTCATGAGTCTCCAGTTACTCTGCAGAGCTGATCAGGTACTATGGGATTCCACTTAGTGTTGGCTCATCTCACCTCTTGTATTCTTTTGGACAGCTATCTTTCATCTAAACTGGTAAGAATCACAGAAGAAATATGTCTTCAGTTAAGATGCCTGGAAATGTTCAAACAGCCTGATCTTTTAAAAACAACTATTCATATTCAAGAGGATGAATAAGGAATTGTGTTCATCTCTCTTTATAACAAGGGTATGGGCTCTGGAATTCAACAAAACTGGGTTCAAATTCTGACTCCGATACTAAAGACCTTGAGAAAGTTATAAAACCTGTGAGTTCTTCCATTTGAGCAGATAAAATAATATAAATCTTATAGAACTATTATGAGAAGAGAGATAATCAACATAAGGTGCTTGACACAGTGTCTGGTACTTAGTAAATTTCAAATAAATAGAAACTCTTGTTATTTACTGCAAAATGATGATATCTGGTCTAATAAATTAGTACATGCCACATGCTTCAGATAACTGGATCTAGCAATAGAACACTAAATCACAATTTCCTACATCAGGAAATAATTTGGCACCTAATCATTTTTACCATTTTTTTTTCAGTGCTGGAGATTGAACACAGCACCTTACACATGCTAAGCAAACACTCCACCACTGAGCTACATCCCAGCCCTCATTTCTACCAGTTTTGGTCCTTCTAAGCATTTATTTATTTATTTACTCATTTAGTACCAGGGATAAAACTCATGTTGCTTAACCACTGAGCAACATCTCCAGTCCTTTTTTTATGTTTTATTTTGAGACAGGGTCTTGCTAAGTCCTTAGGGCCTCCCTAAGTTGCTGAGGTTGGTTTTGAACTTGTAATCCTCCTGTCTCAGCCTCCTAGAATTATAGGTGTACACTGCCACAGATGGCTCTAAGTTTTATTTAATTGCAAAGAATCTGTGTAAAAACCACAGCAGGAGGACTAGGGTTGTATCTCAGTGGTAGAGCACTTGCCTAGCATATGTGAGGCATTGCATATAAACAAACAAACAAATAAATAAATAATATAAAGGTCCAAGGACAACTAAAAAATATTTTTAAAAAACCAAAGTAGGAAAAAAAAAAGTAATTAGTTAAAGCAAGACCAGTAAGATTCTGGCACTGCTCTGAAAATACTATGTGTTTTATTTACCAAGAAACAAAATAATGTATCTGTCTGTTCTAATTTAAAAAAAAGAAAGAAAGAAAGAAAGAGAGAGAGAGAGAGAGAGACTTCTGAGAGGTTCTAAATATGTAAGCTTTAATTTTATGGGATTCTTCTCAATGATGGCTTGATAAGAATGACTAGGAACTCCAGTGATATAGTAAGAAAAGCAATTACTGAGTATGGTACTTACTATGAAAAGTAAAGCATGTTATCATACACATGGAGGACATTAAGAGGTAAAAGTACTACATGTCTTCCATCGAAATTTATAAATTAAGTGATAAAGCATTAATCAGAATATTTAGATCACTTTTTCACAATTTTGGTCCTATAATGGAAACTTATACTAAGATGATGGTTTTGTGGTATAGAACTAATGACATGATGCCCTGTGGAACCTAAATCAAACTATAGCCGATTTCAAAAATACCCACTGGGCTGGGGGATGGGGGAAAGTTCAGTGACAGAGCACTTGCCTAGCATGAATCAAGGCCCTGGGTTTATCCCTAGCACCTTTGAAAATGAAAGAAAGAAAACTTCTCTCATTTCCACTTGCAATGGAAGAGTAGAAGAAAACATTTTTACTCTCACGTGGCAAAAAAAAAAAAAATCTGCTTAAGAGCTAATAAGTGGTTCTGTTAATCATCTTCTCCCTTTTTATTATGAATCTTAAAGCCAAATCACTGAAGGAATATATGGCATCAGACCTCAGGGGTTTGCTAATCACATCATCTTACTGAATTGTGGTTTTCTGAATCTGTGTTCAGCAAAATGATAGAATGGAAACATTTCCAAAAGCATTGATTACAAATAATCACGACTTGGGCAGAAGCCTACAGATGTGTTTTCCTCTGAGGCATTCTAGAGACATGAAAACTATGCTCTTAAAATAACTTATAAAATAAGATTACAAGTTATAAACAGAGTCTCAGCACTATCTGGTTTCTGAAAATGAGTTCTGACACCTCAGAGGGGCTTTCCTATGCTTTGTTCCATTGGAAAGATCAGGGCTTCTGTTGCTAAACTTGTGCAAAAGCAGTTTGCAGTGGCTGGGACAAGGGCTTTGAAATCAGATAGACCTGTGTGGAGATGCTGGACTCTACCGCTTCCTAACTGAGTGACACCGGGTAAGTTTCATGACCTCTGAGGGTGTGATAACACTTAACTCACAGAGTTTTGAGGATTAAACTGGATAATGTATTTACAGTCCTTGGCATAGTGGGTGGCTTGTTGTCATCCCCATTGTTGTCATTAGTTATCCTTTGCTGATTTGTGTCTTGGTTGTTCAGAAGCCTGATTCTCAATATTATATGGTACCTCATTAAAATGTACTACTTTTATGTTTTTATTATCAGTAAAAAAAAAAGCTTAAGAATAAAAATCTTTGTACAACATATAGCTCACAGTTGACAAAGAACAAATATTTGCTGCTTATATCCTCAAAAGCAACAAAACTTTGAGAGTGCATCTGCTATTCCCTGAAAAGAATGGCTAATTAAAAACATAACATAACCTCATTATCATCAACTGTAAACCCAAAGACAGAGTAGAATAGATGGACAAAGGGAACGATATACTGTATAATCTGAAACTAGGATTATACAGTATATCTGTATAATAGAAGACAGAATCTAGCTTAAAGTTTACTCACCAGGAAGAATACCAGCCACTTTACTGGGGAGAATAAGAAGGCTTATAAATTGTATAGATTAACTACTGTTTCAACTCAGCTTTTAATGGAGAGACAATTTATTCCCAAGTCTTCCTCACACTGCCTTCTCAGGTGTCAGATGCTTAATGAGATACATTTGTATATGAAATGGCCTTTCATATAAGGACATATAGACCTCGAGTCCCTCCCAAGGCAAAATGGGAGAAGATTTCTGCCTTCAAAGAGCACGTCCTTGGGTTCCACATTTCCTGTGGCATTTCCTACCTTCTCTAAATGCATCTTATTCAGTCCTTCTGTGTGCTGTTGTACAATGCTTATTCCTCAATTTAAGGAAACAGTTAAAATCTCTTTTTTAAAAATGCAATTTAGGGCACAGATTCATAAACAACCCAATAGGTCTTGGAAGAACTTGTAAGGTAGAGAAAACAGATGGAAAGACAAGAACCAGTTAAAGCTGAAGTAAACTGATAAGGCAGGTTGCTGGGAAATCAAGGTGGTTTTGGTCAGAAGGCAGAGGGTCCTGAGCATGAAAAACCAACTACACACAAATAAACAAAAAATGAGTGTTATTTTCACCAGGTATTAAAAAGGCAGCTTTAAGACAACAAAACTTTGAGTAGAATGAGCTGGTCATCAGCCCTAAGAGTCAGGACTGGACAATTCAGGCTGACTCTCCACTAGTACATGTGTCTGGTACAGACTGTCTGCCTTCAGTTGACCCATCTTTCTTCAGTTATGCTGTAAAAAGACTATATCTAGGTGATACCCACATAGTGCTTGAGCTTACTGCTTACTGCCCAGAATACATTTGGCCTTAATAGGCCACTGTATGCATCTAGTCTGATCCACCCTACATTGAAGGGGTGATGGAGATTCCATGAGTAGCCATTTAGTATGTTGGATAGAAGAGAAAATTAGACTGCCTTAGAAAGAACAGAGTGAGGAACTGCCAAGCCTAAAGCATAGCCTTTGATGGAAGAAGTTCCTTTTACTTGACTTTAAGGTTACAGAGAAGAGGGAGTTTATGGTTGGTCAGGCATAGAACAGATTGGAATGTGATATCTAGTCCTGTTTGTCAGCAGAAATATTCATGGTCATTGGAACAATAACTAAATATTTACAAGTCAGATTCTTTTAAGGAACCGTGAATATGACAAACACCATCATTTAGCTTTCTGGGGGACAGATCACCTTCACTGATTCGAACTAGTAACCTGCCTGAAATCAATAGCTCAGATAAGAAAAAGGGCTGCAGGCCTCCTGCTTACTCTCCTTCCTAAGGGTGGGGAGAGAAGAGTTCTCAGTATAGACCCACTAATAGGTACCTTCTCTAGACGTTGAGGTCTTGGCCTAGAGAATTCAATCTATAAAATTATGAACCTATGTCCAAAATACTCTACAAGATTGTCAAAAATGTTAAGTCATAATAAGCCCAACTTTGGGATGCTAAGAAACAACCATAAGCCAAGTAGGTAAATAGCTTCCATTCCTATGAAGTTCAGGTATGGAATGAGTCTACAGAAATTATCTCAAACTTTCTGGTGGTCTTCAATGGCCTCAGTACATATAGTTTGTCATTTCTGAGGTCACAGGAAGCTTGGAAACAAAAGCTCTTTGTGAAACTCATGTCTTTGCAACCGAATTCAAGGGGCTGGCTGGTGAGTAGAACATGGGGCAACCTGAGACAGCTCAGGGGCATTTCTGTGCCCATAAGAACATCTACTTCCTCCTCCTGCCTACTCCCTGCCCCCCCCCCAAAAGGCCACAATCTAACATAATAGAGAACTTTAAAAAATCACTTTAACTGGGCCAGCAGGGTTATGTGCAATGATTATCTTGAAACTTCCACTCCCTGGTAAACTGGCAGCCCACTGGATAAGCAGGTCAGCTTATCCAGAAAGAGCAACGAGAAGAGAATGT